GTCTAAGGGTTATGTAACTACCATATAAGTTTCAAAACAGTCAGTCCACAGACAAATGCACACAGCCTGCATAAAGTAGCTGTGCCTTTTCACGAGCCGTTGTGACTTCCGTAAAAAGGTGACGTCAGAACTACACAGTCGCCGCCTTTCAGCCACCCCGAGCACTGCCCATCGTTCCACCCTCCTTTTGCCAAACCCCCAGACAACATCGCGTCCATACCATTGCTGAGCAACGACAACACGTAAACTTTCAATATCTTCTCTTGCAGTTATATCATTGGGTAATTATACTGTTTAAATTGCGGGCATCAGGCAGGGAGCCGCTATTATGCCTGGCATTGAAACTGCTTTTGAATGCACAATTTTAGTTTCACTTTCACTTTCGAGATTCACAATCGCAGGTACTTTGTTTATATTATGGAGCAGCAGTACTTGCCACACATTTTACAAGAGTAGATGTTTGTCAGTGGTGCTCAGGATCTGCAATTCGCCATCGTTCTCAGTCATCTCTCCTTACTCTGTTTATGTGGTAAGTGAAATTTTATGTACTGTAATATAACAGGCATTATGTAATGTCCGCAAACCGTTAGTAAACTTCTCACATATTTTGTGTTACATTATGGAGACAGCATAATCTGAAATTATAGTTTGCAAACGGTTATGCAATGCTAACGTGTTGCTAACTTGATGCTGATGTGTTATAGATTTCTGCATTCGGTTTTTGAAAAAATATTAAAATAATAGTAATTACAATTCTGAAACATCCTGTTGATGAGGTGGTTGGTTGTCACCTGTCATCGCCGATTGGGGGTCTGACATGCTCAAACGGCATTCTGGCATTCTACAAGAATATTGGGAAATATATGCGAATATCGGCATTCTACAAATCTGACATTCCGGCTCAAACATGTAAGGCCGGAAAACATTTCCCTCAGCAGTGGCCATAATTACAGGTGTTTCTATTTACAGGTGTTTCTATTTTTCTATTTGCCACAGCAGGCTACAGCATACATGACCCTAGTTACCTGTGGTTGGCCTGGCCATGCGTCACTCAGAAAACAACAGGCCAATCAGAAGAGAGGCTCATGAATATTAATTAGACAGGCCAAAATCGAACTGTTCTAAGCAGAGCTCCTGAGAAAGGAGCTGTAAAAATATATTTAGATGGTTTTTGGTACTTATACCGCAAATATATATTCTTGAAGACATCAAAACCTAAAATAAAACGTATATAAAATAAAATAATACGTGACCTTATTTATATTAGTTTGTTTGATATTTTATTCCACCAAACTAGAATAAAACTAGCCACCAGTTTTCTTTGAATGTGAATGGATATAACTGTCATATATAACTCTGTTTATCATTTATAGATGACTTGATTACTGTGCATAAGTTCAAGCCTCCAGCAAAGTGGCGACAATCTTTTGAGAACTACCTTAAAACAGTCCCGCCCTACTATATCACTGTAAGTAATGGAATCAGTAATTCATTTTGACACTACAACATTGTGATTGTATCTTTTGGAATGCATTCAAGTTATTTTGTGTTTTGCTTAATCCTGATTCACGCAGGCCCTGCGGAAAGCACTAAGAATGATGGGAGCTCCAAACCTGTTGGCTGACAACATGGAGTGCGGTCTGAGCTATAGTGTTGTGTCTTATCTCAAAAAGCTCAGTCAGCAAGTATGTTCTAACATAGTTTGTTTTTATAGTCTTTATTCTTAAACGTGCTTCATGAAGTTTATACTGTGTACATTACAGGCAAAGATCGAGGCAGACAGAGTTTGTGCATCAGTAGGAAAAAAGGCGGCACTTGATGGTGGGATTAAACTTCGCTGCAGAAGCTCCACCCTCTCTCTGGCACACAGGAAGGATTTCACGCAGCTGTTGAACAGTATCATGGGAGATGGGCCAGCTCTGCCAATGGAGGCAAACACCAAGGAGTTTGCTGGCTTTCAACTAGCTGCTCTGAATAAAGTACGGATATATTCAACTGTAAATACAGTACACCTTGTGAATGTTTTGTACTGTTTTCATGCGGTCAAAACCACAAAGATGTACATGACATTGCTCAATGTGAATCAAGTCAGAGTGAGATTAATATTTAATGCTGTTTATTTTGAGGGCTGGAATTTAATACAAGTGCTTTTCATATGGCACATTTGCAGTTTAGAGTCAAGTTTTTGTGCCTAACCAACTATTCCAACAGGACACAGTTGAGCAAATCATCCATGTTCAGTTCTCACTAAATCCAGATCACTTATCTACTGTTTTCTTCTCTTTTTGCACAGGAATTTAAACCGCAAGGACTGCGGAACCCCTATGATATCCCAAGATCTCATCTGCTAGACCAGCTGAGCCGCATGAGGCGGAACCTTCTGCACGCCAGCATCTGTATTCTGAAAGGTCAAGATCAAGGTAACGCTCGGACAGCCATGAATGGTTATTGATTTTCTTAGAGCAGTTTCCCGAGTATCTGGGTTATTTGCTCAATTAAATTTAGCTTTTGGTTTCCAAAAGAATTGTGAGCCTTTTTATCTGATATGGTTATGCTGTTACATGGTACGTTTTGAATGTTATTTATGTTTTTATAATAAATATTTTTTTAGATCAGCTGCACAGTGTTCCTATAGCTCAGATGGGCAACTATCAGGATTTCTTGAAGCATTGCCCATCCCCTCTGAGAGAAGCAGACCCCGATCAGCCTAAACGTTTGCACACCTTTGGTAACCCCTTCAAATTGGACAAGAAGGTACCTTTAGATCTCTGAATTAAAAAAAAAAAAGAAAGCATAATAAAGATTTGACTTTCAGGCAAATAACTTTGTCTCTCTGTGTCAGGCAATGATGGTAGATGAGGCAGATGAATTTGTTACTGGCACTCAAGGCAAAGGCAAACGTCCTGGAGAATCAAGCAGTCCTGCTGGGGGCGGGGCCCCCAAACGCAGACGCTGTATGTCTCCTCTGCTTCGGCTGGGACGGGCATATACACCTCCCAAAACACCACCTAGAAGTAAGTAACCAGCACACACAGGCAGAAAATAACCCTTTAGTAGCAGGTCATTCAGAAATTAAAATCCTTTCATTTACTCACCCTTATTCTGTGAGCAAAACTTTGAATCTTCAGTTTTATGCATGTTTCATATCTGATTCAACACAGCTCCAGATAATGATGACACAGAATTGGGCAATCACATCAACAACCATCTCGAGTCAAACCGCAACTCGGACAAGGAGCCGAGTCCTGCACCCGAGTCTGAACTGATCCAGCAGAGGAACCTCCTTCAGCTAGATGAGGTCGAGAACCAGGAAAACAGAGTGCAGGAGAACGGCCAGTCCAGCGATAGTGAGTTTTCTCTGGGCAGCGAGGGTGAAGAGGAGGCCCCACGCCGCTACCCTTCCCCCTGCCAACTGAAGAAGATCAGAAACCAAGAGAGCCAGGAACTGAACTCTGAACTCAGAGTACTCATCACCAAGGAGATCAGGAAGCCTGGCAGACGTGAGTCACAGCGCACACATACATGTGCAGATGTCTGCTACTTGTCTCTCATTTCCTCTCCTGATGCTCTTTCCTGGGTGGTGTCCAATAAGCGAAGGAGGGGTGACCACCCACAAACGCTTTGTCTTGGGCCTTGTGAAATCAACTGGCCATGCTTGCTTTTGCTACATGTGCAAATCTGTAACATTGTTACAGCTGGTTTTCATTTGTCATTTTTATTTTTACATTGTAATGAATATTACAGGGTTTTGGAAATTAATTTGTTCTTGTGGTTTTACAGTTGTTTTTTGTCATTGCTCATAACACCATACATCAAACCTTTCTTCTCACCCAATGTCCTTTTTTTTTTTTTTTTTTTTGTCTAAATGCAGGTTATGAAAAAATCTTCTACCTCCTCAAGCAAATCCAGGGCAGTTTGGAAACGCGTCTGATCTTTCTGCAGAGCATAATCAAAGAGGCTGCCAGGTATACTCCAGATTCAAATGCTGATTTTTCAAGTAGATGCTTAACTCTTCATACTGATACATTTATTATCGCGTTTGGTCTCGTACTGTATTGCGTACCTTGTCAGTGTCGTGCGCTTTGCTTGGCCATTTGGTGTGATAAACAGGAAAGTGTGTTCAAGCTCCAGCAAAACAGTGTAAAGAAATACTCTTTGTGAGAAGCAGTCAATCAGCAGAAGTTAAAAGCAGCTTGTAAGTGTATTTATTTCTTGTCTCAGTGTTTAGCGCAGTTGTCGTTGCTAGGAAACGCTTGTTTTGTTTACTGTGGAGACGTGCTGAAATCGCGTTTGGTCTCGTACTGTATCGCGTACCTTGTCAGTGTCGTGCGCTTTGCTTGGCCATTTGGTGTGATAAACAGGAAAGTGTGTCCAGCTGAATTCAATTTGAGTTTTGTTAAACTAATTAAAAAGAACGTCTCAGGTTACTTATGTAACCATGGTTCCCTGAGTAGGGAACGAGACACTGTGTGTGTGTGAGTGAGTGAGTGAGTGAGTGAGTGAGTGAGTGAGTGAGTGAGTGAGTGAGTGAGTGAGTGAGTGAGTGAGTGAGTGTGTGTGAAGGTGTATATATATATATTTATATACACCTTGCTACGTGTACTGCGTTAGGCTAACCGAGACTTGTCATTTGCACTTATATATTGTTGCTCTTTTGTTAGTTTTGACTGCTTTTATTGTCCTCATTTGTAAGTCGCTTTGGATAAAAGCGTCTGCTAAATGACTAAATGTAAATGATATTTGAAAGGTTAAAGCCCCAAGTATGCTTTCTTTTTTTAAAGCATTCTCTAACTCTCACAACTCGAGTCGAAATGATTTTAAATATATATATTTATTTATTAGGGGTGTAACAATATACACGTATTCGTATTGAACCATTCGGTACGAGGCTTTTAGGTTCGGTACACATTACAAACCGCAAACGATTTGATTCGTTGGACTAATCCGATTACATTTGGAAAAGAAAACCGCTTAAAGTGTGTGAAACATCACACACCATCTATTATCTGTGCTATCAAATGGACTATACTTTCAGTTATGTGTTCAGCTATACATGTGTAAGAAGCGTTCAGACTTGAAGTTTACTTTGGTCTTGATGTGCAAACTCAAAATTATGCTGTTTTCATTAATATAAATAACCCCATGTTGTTTTCATGGACAAAGCTCTAATTACTAATCAAATTACGTGTGGTGTGTGTGTGCAGGTTTAAGAAAAGGGTCTTGATTGAGCAGCTGGAGAACTTCTTGGAGGAGATTCACTTAAGAGCCAACAGCATGAATCATCTGGACGGTTTCTGAGCACTCCATCTGTCCTACTTGAAGGACTCGCGCACATATCTGCACTATTTATGTAATGTTATTTTGGACTTGTGTGTCTCCAGTCTTTATCAGTATTGAAGCTGATGTTATCAATGAGGACAACCCCATGTTGTTTTCATGGACAAAGCTCTAATTACTAATGAAATGTGTGTGTGTGTGTGTGTGCAGGTTTAAGAAAAGGGTCTTGATTGAGCAGCTGGAGAACTTCTTGGAGGAGATTCACTTAAGAGCCAACAGCATGAATCATCTGGACGGTTTCTGAGCACTCCATCTGTCCTACTTGAAGGACTCGCGCACATATCTGCACTATTTATGTAATGTTATTTTGGACTTGTGTGTCTCCAGTCTTTATCAGTATTGAAGCTGATGTTATCAATGAGGACTTGATGGGTTGTCGCTAAACCTCAGGATTGGGAGAAATGGGAAAAGTTGCTTTTATAACAAATGGTCATGCACATCTTTCTTTTTCTTTTCTTTTTTGTTTTAAGGCATTTTTTTTCCAATCTAAATGTGCCAAAGAGAATTGGTTGGCATTGGCTTCCTCGTTTGCGTTTTTGTATCTCCCCCCCCCCAGTCCCCTGCAACATTTCGACATGTAGCATTGATCACCAATATAAATGTTTTCCTTTCATTTCAGTCGGGAATTGCACCTCTGCAAACTCACTGCTGCATTCAGTCTTATCAGACAAGACCGATGATTTTCTGGAAATCACATTTGTTAGGTTGGTTCTCTCTTAATAAAGCAACTAAATCAGCAGTATTCTACACCAATAAAAAGGCGAGTTACCAAGCAATTCTTTAAAGTTGGAGGTTTGAGTGACTTTGAGGTTTTGTAATTAAATGTAGACTTGCACACTCCAAAAGTCAATTGTTGTTTGTTAAATAACTCATCTCAGGAATGATGTTGCAGAAGATTTAGCATTTGGCAGCAGTGGAACATCTTTCTGAAATTTTGTTTTCCCAATATTCTTAAAAAACTCTTTCTCCTTTCACAAAAGTGTAGTTTTTTTTTTTTTTTAATCTATAAAAACAAATTTGCCACTTTTATTTTTAAACCACCCAGCATTATTATGCATGGCTTCAAGCAACTGTTTTGCCTTTAGCAAAAGACCTTCTGTAGCATGCCATGTGGTTTTCAGACCACAGAACCATGAATAACTTCTGTGAAGGACTGTATAACTTCTGAACTTTTGCTCTCTTGACTAAAAATTGCAAATGACCGTTCTGCACGGAGTAACCATATTTGATTTACAGAAGCAACAACCGGAAGGATATAATAATGAAACACCCAAACGATGTAAAGTTGATTCTTAATCATTCAGGATGGAGTTTAGAGCCAATTATTCATTGACATGGGAAGTTGCTGCTAATGTATTCCTACATTACTGCCAAATATCCATTATTCCTTAGCTCTTTTTTTTTTTTTTGGTCTGTCTTTGTGTATCTCACCCTCTTAACCCTGCACCCTAATGTAGGGACCAAATCTTTGCCATACATGTTACCGATAAAGGAGAAAGGCTTCTTTAAAAAGTATTTTTATTATGCTGTATATATGTACATGGTGACATTGAAAATATTATTTAAGAAAGTTTTGGTGGAAAGCCTTTTTTTGTATGTATTTGAATAAAGTCTATTTTACACTGAATAGTCATGTAAATAAAAGACATTTTTCTGTCATTAATTTCTAAGTGGCACAATGTCATTAAAAAGGATTGCAAATCTTACCATGTTCATTGTGTTTTCTATATACTTAAACCCATCAGTTTGCAGGGATAAAGATTGAAGTGGCTCGTCACGTTTTTTTGGTTATTGCTGTAGCTACTTGGGGAGTTTTGGTTCTAGACCTTACAAATTTCAACAGTTATTAAATGTGTGGCTCAGTACTTAACAGAATTCTTATTTCTGAGATCCATGAAATCCGTAACTGATGGTTACAATACATTTCCATCAGAATTGAGGAAATTTACTGAGAAAAAATGACAGCAGACACTTTGAAGTGCAAAAACCCTGATGTAATAAAATTTTATTTACAGATATGTACAAAAGTCTCGTCCCTCTTCCTGAAGTGTCAGAGGACCCTCCTAACGGTCCTCAGATATCCCTCTGACCCCCCACCCATGAGGGAGGAGGGGTGTGTTGAGTTGGCAAAATCATACAAATGTATATTAACACAAGTTTCCTGTGTGTGTTTGTCATTTGAAGCAGTTGTGATTGCATGTATCATCTCAAGACATCTCGGCTGGATTCAGAACTCGACCTATAAACAGCAATGACCCTGTGGAGTAAAAACCTACAAATTCAACTGATTCTCCAATGTCACAAAACAGATGTCATGCAGATCTGTGTGGGTTCATGTAGACTAATAACATTGTTTATGATGATCACTCTATGGAGAATTACATCTGCAGTCCCTGCAAATTTAGTCCCTAAATGTAAATGTAATTGACCTCTCTCTCTTAGGTACAATACAAACATTTTGGGTCTGTTTTTGGTTACACTTTATTTTAAGGTGTCCTTGTTACAGTGTAATTATACATTTAAGGACAGAGTGATATTAATTAATTATATGTACTCACTATATGGTTTGGGTTTGGCTAAGGGTTACTTGCATGTAATTATGCATAAGTATTATTGTAACAATATTGTAACAATGACACCTTAAAATAAAGTGTTACCTTTTTTGAGAGAGAGATCAAAATTAATACTTTTATTCAGCAAGGATGCATTAATTTGGACCTTTATAATGACATTTAAAATGTCCCAAAACAGTTTGACGAAAAAATCATGAATAGCACAACTTTTCAACATTAATAAATGCTTCTTGAGCATACAAGCATACAAATCGGCATACAAGAATTAATTCTGAAGGATCATGTGACAAGACTGGAGTGAAAAATCTGAAAAATTCAGATTTGCCATCACATGAATAAATGACATTGTAAATAATACAAATATAAAATTGTTTCAAATAAACTTTTAAATAGTAATAATAATTCAGAATATTACTGTATTTCTGATCAAATAAATTTAGCCCTGGTGGGCCTAAGAGACTTTGTCAAAAACATTAAAGAATCTTACTGACCTCAAATGTTTGGACGTTATATACAATTTAATGTCAGGGTAGAGTAATTTTAAGAATGCATGCTATCCGTTATAATTTCAGATTTTAGTATTTACCTGTACTGATCTGCCGTAAGATATTTACATAATTATATTTGAAATTCAAATCAATATCTAATTTGGCATAATATATATTTATTTTTTATCATATATCTACATAATTACATTTAAAAGTCATATTTAAATTCTAATCAATATTAACTTTACATAGAATATATTTACAAAATTATATGTTAAATTTATTCTTATATTTAAAATAAACTGAAAAATATTTGGTGTAGAAATTGTGAAAATTTTACAAATAATTTCAAGGAATTGCAAGTACAGTGCAAAAAATGGCTTATCTTACTTAGTATTTTTGTCTTGTTTCTAGTCAAAATATCTATAAATTCTTAAATCAAGGTACTTTTACTAGATAAGCCAATTGACTTAAGATATTTAGTCTTGTTTCCAGGGGGAAAAAAACTAAATTAAGTGCATTGTGCTTAAAATAAGTAAAATTATCTGCCAGTGAGGTAAGTAAACTAATCTTGTTTTAAGAGTAATTTCCTTACCCCACTGGCAGATCATTTTACTTGTTTTAAGCAAAATGCACTTAATTTAGTTATCATGAATAGCACAACTTTTCAACATTAATAAATGCTTCTTGAGCATACAAGCATACAAATCGGCATACAAGAATTAATTCTGAAGGATCATGTGACAAGACTGGAGTGAAAAATCTGAAAAATTCAGATTTGCCATCACATGAATAAATGACATTGTAAATAATACAAATATAAAATTGTTTCAAATAAACTTTTAAATAGTAATAATAATTCAGAATATTACTGTATTTCTGATCAAATAAATTTAGCCCTGGTGGGCCTAAGAGACTTTGTCAAAAACATTAAAGAATCTTACTGACCTCAAATGTTTGGACGTTATATACAATTTAATGTCAGGGTAGAGTAATTTTAAGAATGCATGCTATCCGTTATAATTTCAGATTTTAGTATTTACCTGTACTGATCTGCCGTAATGGTCGGAGAAATGGTCGATCTGCTTTGAAAACCGCTGATCGGGATCTTTTCAATAGCACCATTGCTAAAAAGAAAGATAGAGGAAGAAAGCTCAGTCATCAGTTATTTCCCAGCCGATTCACAGCTTGAACAGTCTGTTCAACTATATCCCATCTGTTGACTACAACTGATTCTCAACCAGGTACACATACACCAGGGAGTAGCCTTGCTGAGCATATAAAAGATTACATCTTAAAAAAAAAAATCAGGGCTAATATTTGGTAATATCCAGATGTGCTTTTGTCCTCTTCACAACAGAATAATGTTTCATTAATTTGTTTCACAAGGACTTGAGGCTTGTTTTAACTATATCAGTGTCCACACTAACGGATGATAATGTGTTTATTATAAGCATGTGCTGCAGTTTTGTCATCTGCTGCTCAAATGCTCAAGCTCTTTAAAGCAGGACGGATTCTGATTGGCTGTCTATGTTTTTATCTTTTATCAGCTGGAAAAATAAATCATTCAGGCATAACATGAAGTCTATAGAGGCCGAAGTCTATATTATGATATTGGTATGTCAATACAGAGTCAGATCAGTCTTCATTAACATTAAACAGACAGTATTTGATATTCATAAGTGTTCCTAAACATTTCTCTTGTTTTCAATTTCCACACTAATTTTTTTTTTTTTCAGCAAGTAAAATGTCACATACCTGTAGCTGAAAGCTGCTTTTGTCCCTTCCTCTGTCACTTCTATTCTTGCCTCATGGAAAGCCTCTGATACAAAAAGCCCTTCTCCATCTGTAGAATTTTTAGATATTTTGACTAGAAACAAGACAAAAATATTAAGTAAGATAAGCCATTTTTTGCAGTGTAACACGTTTAATTAAACATGACATTTTGAATCAAGAAGAATG